ACTTCGTCGATCTGCCTGTTCTGCTCCCCACTCTGTCTCTGGTGAAGCCTCTCACCCTCCGCATCTCTGACCTGTACTCCAGTTCTGTACGAATAAATCTTTAACAAAAAAAAAAATAGTTAACTTAGTTGCTATTTCCTATATATGCATAGCTTTATGTTGAGGGGTGCTTGCAGAAATGTTATAAAGAATTGGGTTTTTACATTAAGGTAAACATTTTAGCCCCTTTTGGATTAGTTTAGAGCCTCTGTATTTAGAATAGACAACAGTCTTTTCTCAGTGACTAAGACTGAAGGCAGGGGCTAAGACAATAATGTCCCGAGATCTAGTCCTGTGCCATCTCTCCATTTCCTTTTATATCAGTAACTCTAGGTCATACATTGAGAATGTAGGTGAGATATAATCACACACAAGGAACTCTTACTATTCTTGATGAAAGTAATTTAATCATCAGACTAGAGTATTAAAGGAGAATTGAGGTAATTTCATAGCAACTACAGTTAGCTACTAAAGAGCTACAAATTGTCATAATAGCGTTAGGGTTATTTATGCATATGAAATGGGAAAACTAGAGTGTACTGAAATACCACCTTGACCTTTTACTGTGAGGCTGTTGAGGTCATATCTGGGTACATATTTTAAGCATGGATTGGAATAAGATTGCTGTGTAAGGAAGCATGGGCATAGAGTAGTATTTTGACTTTGGATGTTTTTATTTCACCATGAAAAACTGGAGAATGATTTATGTCTTTAGTGTTACCCTACATCTGGATCAATAAAATAAAACTGACTAAAATTATAGATGTTATTTTAAGAAGAAACACTAAAATCCCATGCCAATAGAGTGAAATTTTTATCATATTGTTATTTACTAAAGTAATATGTTTAAATCCTTCTATAGGTAAAATTTGTCTTTTACAGTAAGTAAACTTTGAGGTAGAATTTTATGATTTAATTTGTTGTTTTATTTCATGGTCTAATAAGCTAATTTTTTCCTTTTGTGCATAGTGAGCTTTTATGGGATATGTGGAATACACATCTTATCTCATAGTTAACATGTATATAGCAGTTAACCTTATATAGCAGTTGAGTTTCTTTTACCTTACATATTACGTATCTCTTTTTAAAAATATATGTAGAATCTCAATTTGGTGACATCTGCCCTCAGAAATCTGAGTCAGTGTAATCTTTATCTATAGTTCTTTAACAGTCATTTTTAAGAATACATTGGACATGGAATATCTTGACACTATTTTTACTTCTGTTCAGACTGCTCTTATTTACTATGAAAAATTCCTTCTATCCCTTTCAGTGTCCCAGATAAAAAAGTGTATGGGTTAGAAGAGGATTTAGTATTGAAACATTTGTTTCAAGGAACAATATCACAGCAGAGTATAACATAAGGGATTTAATAGTTATCCACAAATAGACATACATCACTATCTAAAGATACTGACTAGTTAGGAAATAGATACTGTTTTTGATTTGAGATTTTGGTTATGTGGAAAAGGAATGAGATATTTGTACGCTTCTGTGTAATTTCTGTACTTTATTGTAGAGCAGAAATGACTTATACAGTGACTGTTCTTGTAACTGCGTTAAGATTTGATCACTCTTCTCTGTCCTTGATCTATTCTTTTGTAGAAATAATAGTTTCATGAGTTTCTAGAATAATTGTAAAAATTTACTGTAACTGAAAAAAATATTCACAGGGAAATATGTTTTGATTTGTATTACTGTTGTGGACCATTCCTTAATCTAAATCTATCTACTTTTCACACAGATTTTCTTGACTTTTCAAGATGCTTGAAAAACCGAGAGCATATGAGGATCTGTCTCTGGAGAAACAAAAAGAAATGCAGGCATACTAAGTTTGAAATCTGAGTTCTGTGAAACTCAGTAATGCAAAGATGGACAATCACACGGGGGAGAATAATTCTGCTAAAGAGAGGACAATAACCACAGAACTCAGTGTACCAAACATGCATATAAAGGACACACAGGGATTTTGAAAATGCTGCACATCCCTTATTAGTCATCTATGTAGGTAATACTGATAAACATTTTGTATCCAGACGCCAAAGTTAACTGATTTACAAGTTGATTTACTTTTTATTAAGTTCTCTAGAGTTGCACAACTAGTTATGTTTTGATTTGTTTTTTACTTTGGGGTCTCTTTGTTTTCCCCAACAAAATGCTTCTGCATTCATCTATGCTTAAACTGAAGACTATATAACTTCTTATAAAGTCCTGAATGTGAAACCAAGAAATGTAATCAAGCAGTAAAACATTCTCTGAATGTAGACCATGATCTCAAGTTCTTCTATACCCCCCACCCCCGAGTGGAAAATACTTCTACATCAGAAAACTAAAATGTGTTAATATTTTATAATTAAAGGCTTAACCATTATCAGAATGCAGTCCAAAGAGTAAATCAAGTTTTACAGAATACAGTTTAATTAAATTTGAAATTGTCTACTGAATTGTAGTTTATAAAATATCTTGTCTCATCTTAAATAAAACTGCTCAACAGATAGTAATGAATCATCTTATAGCTATGCAACTTTTTAAAAAATACGAATTACCAGTTTTGAGTGCTGCCATCTACAGTAACTTTATTTTAACGGGTATTTTTGTTTGTTCCTTTCACATAATTATTTTATTGTGCTTTGCATCTCCAGGCAATATTCCCGTATTTGGGTAAAATGTTTAGCAGGTTGTAAACTGAATAACTTATGAAAAGGGTGAAATAAAATTTTCTTGAGTGGAACTTAGAATAACTTGAGGGACTTTTATATACTTTTAAAAGTCAGCATTTAATTGGGATGCTAGATTTATAGCAATTTGCATCTTTAGTTTTCCAGATAATCTGGAGATTAGTGTTTGATAAATGATTTTTTAAAGCAAATATGAAGATTTTGTTAATTTATAATTTATTAATGTGTTATTACTGTAATTGAAAATGTTATAGAGACTTTTAAATTCAGTCTTATGTGAAAAGAAATGTATTAAGTAAAACTATGTGAATAAATATTCCCACAAACTACACCTGAATGGTTAAAAAATACTGGAAGAGAGCTATCAGGGCTATACTAGTGAATGTCTTTTTTTATTTTAAATATCAAGATTACCAGTAAGTAAATTTTGTGTTTTCAACATAGGGAAAATGTTATTAGTGAACAGTGCACTTTACTCGGTATAGCTGAAAGTTGCACAGTGCTCTTTTCTTGTTTTAAACTTTCTTTAATGTATTTAAGTAGTTGCTTTTCTATTTAATGCTGCTACTCTTATCCTTCTCAAATCAGAGTCCTCCCCGCCTTACTCTATTGCTGTTTCATTATTATTTTTTTTAAAGGGCATGTCCAAGAGCATCTGCTGCTACCCAGAAAGTCTGTGTATTATAAACAATTAAAGTAATTTTTAATTGTTTTTTTGTGTGAGTGTACCAGATAACATTTTCCCTAAAGTTATGCTGTGAAATGCCTTTTGTTATGCTGCAATTGATAAAAGAATCCAAAACCTCCGTTGTAACAGCTGACAGCACAGTTACATAGGTGCTTTTTAACCAGTATGGAAAATATTCTTCCCTCAACAAAAATATTCTTTGCATAATTTTTTTTCTGTTATCATGAAATCTTAATATGACTCCATTTTATTTCACACTTTCAGTTTTGTAAGCTGTCACCATAAACACATGTACGCACGCACACATACACACACAAATGTTCTAGAATGTGAATAATTCTTTTGTTTTCTACAACTGGTATATTGCTATGATAAAAATTATTTTGTTGTCTTCCATTCTAAAAGGAAGAAATTTACAATAGATATGGTAGTTAACTGTTTATATTCCACAAGTTAATTTTCTGAAATAATTTACTTACTGACTTTTAAAAATGCATTAGCTTAATTTGACTTTTTCTTCATGCTGTATTATGCTCTCACAGTCTTACTTTCTATATGTCATAAGGTTCTGTGCTGCAGCTACCACAGTAGAAGCTCCTGTGGTTTAAGAGTAAGTTCAGTGTCAGTGTTCAGTGCTACTTGATTACTAGATTTACTAGAACAGTGTTTACCTAAATCTGTTTATAGGAGTCCCTTTTTGTTAAAATTTTAAAATGCTAGCATTTTTTTTACTTAAACTTTAGTATCCATCAGTGACTTCCTCAAAAGAATAATCTAGAAATTGAAAAGAAAATCTTTTTAATGCTCCAGTTTTTATTCAGAGTTATTATTCTGGAAAATATTATAAGTAATATTCCACATGATGTCACTTATAATATTTGTAAATGTGCAGACACTGAACAGGTTAAGTAGGATATAGGTCACATTAGATATTTAAACGCATAGATGAAAGTACTGACAACTAAATATTATGGAGATGAAGTGGTTAAGTGGTTATGAAAGTCTAGGTTATCAAGTTGCTTATAACTTTTTAGGATTTTTGTAAATACTTGTTTCCAAATAATAACACATGCACCTGCAGAAAGCAATATGTTGTGAAATTTTTCACTTCAGTGCCACTCTTTCTTTAGACTGGATTTATTGCCAATTTTGACTCCTCATTTTAGTTTGATATCTAGTTTTTGTTGGTTTTTTTGATTGCCAGAATGTGTGATAACTAAAATTTATTCAGTCTTACCTGATACTTTGCCAGAGAAATAAACTAGGCTTAGTCTTAATCTGTGTTTTTCTGTTCTGGTTATAAATCAGATACAGATTGTATTTAAGCAGTGATTATGATTAAATATAAATAATGGTTTATAACATATTTTGTGATAGGCAAAAAATTATTTTAGAAGTTGTTATTAATTGTTGCATAGGTTTTGGTTTCTTAGTACACATCTTATATTTCTTTTGAATGTTAAATAGTTATTTTAATTTTTACCCTATAAAAGCTTTATTACATTGTAGCTCCAAATTGCCTGTAGAGCACCCTCAACATATTTGCAGTATGTATTTCAAAAAGATTCCTGTGTTTGAGAGATAATAAAAGTGACAGATTCTTTTCCAAACTTTATTTTACTTTCTAAATTTGGGTATAGTTTTAAAACAGTCATTTAAATTACTATATTGTAGCATGGCATAGGGGCATTTCTTTAATTGAGAGAGATTGAATTCAATGTAAATATACATACTTTTATTTATTAATTTGGGAGAGTTGAAGTAGGGAAATTTCTTTATAGTAAGCCACATTTGAATAAAGCATGAAACTTCTTAAAACACAGGAATAATTGAATTTACCATCTACTGAACATCCACATTATATATTGATAATACTAAATCATCTTACTCTTTCACAGAGGAAGTTTCTATATAAATTAGATGATCAGAATCTATAAAATTAGGAATGCTGCTTATTAAATATGGGTACAGTTTATTAGTTGCAGTATGTCTTTAGGTCATTTTCTTGCAATTTTGATTTATCCCACAGTGAATTCAGTACTTATGGACAATGGGTATATAAATATGAAGTGTTCCTTGTTCTTGTATAGAGCCTCTCTAAGGTTTAAAAAAAAAAAAAATTGAGCATGCCAATATTTTCTCTTTGGCCCAGTCATGTTTTTATCTGAAGTAACTTCTGATTTTTTCCTTTGCTATATTGTGAATAACAGTAGTTAACCTATTTTACTGTCTACTTTTCTAGCTAGAAAGAAAACTTCTGCTTGGTTTTCTTTAGAAGAAATTGCTACTTTATATACTTGTAGTGATTCTTATTCAGGATCAACAGGTAAAATTTTTTTTGATAATAAGTTACCCAAACAGTACTTTTTAGTACCATATTCTGTGAATGCTATGCTGAAACTAGGAAGCTCTTCATTTTAAATCACAGAATTCCTGCACTGAATGGGAAATATCAAATCTTTTAAGTAAGCTGGTTCTCTTGGGAAGGAAAAGGCATTGATGAAGACCAAGTATCAATAAGTTAATATGCTAGCTGTAAATGCAACTAAAGGGGATTTGATATATTTTCAAGTATTTAAGCCTTATTAATTTTAGACCAATAAATAGCTAATAGTAAGATTGTTGGATGATTGTTTATAGAGAGGCAAAGAGCAGATAGGGCATAAACTTTCACATCTCAGAAATAAATGGAAAAAAAAAAAAAGTAAGTAATACTATAGTGTCTGTAACCAACACCACATCTTAGCTGTGCCCTGGTCTGTGAGACATCTGTCAGGATGCCAAGTCTTAAAGCCAGAAGAGACTTATTTCTCTATTACTAAATTTTTAATGTCTTCCATCTCGATCTGGTCTGCTGAGATTGATAGGTACTAGTGATTTCTGTTTATAAGTATAGTTCTACTGGTAGGTACCCTATTACCAGTAAATCTGGCATCAGCATCTTGAAAAAGTTTCCTTATTAAAATAATAGCATTTTGAGCACCTGTATGCAGTATAGTTAACAGATCTTATAGGAAGATATGGGAGAAATTTTGTATTTGATGATGATATTGCTCCACTACACTAGTCAATTATAAGGTTTTACTTCTCTGCATTGAGTATTTATGTGCATTTCATTGTTTAAAAATCATGGTAATAATAGATTAAAACTGGTAAACCTCTTTTGTTTATGATTCCACAGCTCTTCTGTAATACATCTTAATTTCTTTATTAGTATTCTGTTAAATTAGGGGTGGCCTGTCCACTCCACTTCTTGGTTTTTGGTTTTTTTCTCTGTCAACTTTGAAAGTAACCATAAAATAAATTTTTATTTTACTGGTTCAAAAAAAAATGCATCAGTCACAAAAACATACAAAATGTGTTAAGAACAGCTTGTATTAGTGTGTTCTGAATGGAAATGGAACAATTCATTATTGATATTTTAATAAATAAAACTTCCAAATGATCTTGCCAAATTATCCCATTATTTAGAAGTACAAACTAAGATAAGAACGCTTGCAAGGAAATTTGTCATATTCACCGTTTTGTGTAGGAATTGACAGTACATTACAAGGCTGAAAATTTACACAAATTAACTAATTTTATTGTTTCTTCACCTATTTTGTAAATTCATTGCCACAGAATTGAATGCAAAGTATGTTATAATTCTGTAATAGCTTAAGAAAAAAAAAAAACTAGTAGTAATGGACAAAGAGATCTTTCCTTACCTTAACTAAAAGTAAAGATGTACTTTGAAGTTTCTAATGTAAAACCTATTTGTAAATTTTGTAATTGAAATGTTTGGAGAGCTTTTAAGTTTTAAAAAGGAATGGTCTGTTAGTACATATCAAGCTTCTAAAATTTAGATTGTATTTAGTAACATTCAGTATGTCTTTCAAGGAGGAGTAATAAATCTTTAGAAGCAGCATTTCATGATGTAAGAGGTATTGAGTTTTGCGGTAGGGCATTAAGAACTTGGGTTCTGACTACATATTGCCTAGTTTTGCCATCTCCCAGACACTGAGAGAGTTCTCTGTACTTCGCCTTTGCCTATGAAAAGAAGTAATACTACTTAATACTTCCAGATTATGAGGATAAAATGGGAAGGTATATGTAACCACTTAATAATGCCGGTGGTTATTATAAAACAAAGTATTTGTACCCATCTATGAAAATTTTAATTCTCTTCCCTCATGAGGTATAATAGCATTGTTTAAGGCTTTAATTGACATGTTGAGAAGTCCTTGTATACTGAAGATTGTACAGCGTATAATAGAGGACATTGTTTATTCTGATTTTCCCTCTTGCTAAAATCTAGTGATTTGCTTTTTCAGCAAATTATATATTAAGCACTACTTGATTGTGTTTACTATTAGGGATTAAGAATATAAGAATCAGGGCGAGCCCTCCCTAGTGTTGCAACACATTAAATCACAGCACTAGGAAGTGATCCGCTGCAGCAGGAGTCCTATTCCTGGCCAAGGAGGTGACCCACATGATGTGGCAGACCTATCCTGTCTCACCCATTGCTCCCCTCAGCAGTGTATTTCAGTACATCTACCTGTTCTGCTCCTCCACTTTCTAGTGAATTCTCTCAGCCCCCCACATACACATCTCTGGCCTGTACCCCAGTTCTTGTATGCATAAATACATATTTTATTTTTATAAAGGAGGGGCCTCCCTGGTCATACAGCGGGTTAAAGCACAGCACTAAGAAGCTAAAGCCACTTAAGCATCCCCACCCTGGAGGTGATCCACATGGTGTGGCAGACTTCTCCTGACCTGCCCACTGCTCCCCTCAGCAGTGTACTTTGTTGATCTGCCTGTTCTGCTCCCCACTCTGTCTCTGGTGAATGCTCTCACTGCACTTGCACCTCTGGCCTGTACCCTGGTTCTGTAAGCGTAAATAAATAAATCTTAAAAAAAAAAAAAAAGGAATATAAGAATCAAAGACTGCTGACCTTTAGGAATTTAAGTTCTAGTGAGTGAGGCAAATAAGCATGTTATAAAGAGTTATAGAAGCTGTGATAGATTTATATACAGAGTATTATGCAGGTGAAGAGGATGGTCATTATATTCAAACTAGACAAGAAGGGTATATGGATAAAAGGACATAAGTGTGGGAAGTTTGGAATAGAATTTCCAAGGCAGAAAGCATAGCATGTAAAACCAGGACCCATAAGCAAATAACAAATTATGAAGGCCAAATTGTGCCAAATTATGATTGACAGATCTTCAGCAGGAAAACAACAATCAGATTTATCCTTCAGATTAAAGTACCTCATCTTGGTGTGATCATTTAGATGTGAGGAATGACCTGGACTACTCCCAGTTACACCTTTTCCACATCTTAATGGATTTCATCTTCAGGACAGAGTATGAATCTGGGGAAAGATGATTCTACAGAAGTATCTACTGGAAAACCAGAGGTAAAAGAACATCAGTTCTAACTTGAAGAAATTTGATCTTAAAATGGGAGGCAGAGTCAGGAATATCTGAAAAGTTGTGAGAAAGCAAAGAAAATGCTATGTGTATGTGTCTGCTACTCAGAAGTATGTTAGGGTTCAGGAGGTGTCTAGACAGATGTTATCAACACTGTTAGGAGAATCAGTAAGGGTGTGATAATTGAAGAGCACTGAGCTAGTTTAACAACTTCTAGGTTGGCCAAGTTGGATCTGTCCCAGCACTTCTTTCCCCTTTAATTCCAGATGCTTATTGAAATGGGGTCATGCTTTCTTAGGTTGACTTAACTAAACTTGTGATGTGCTCAGATGCATTTTTGAGGTTTTCTCTTTGGTTTATTTGCTCTATCCTCTTTCCATATATATCGTTCATTTCAGGCATGCACAACGAAATTAAGCTGGCAGCAGAGTCTAGAAGTAGACAGGAAAGATGACTCTTGCTGTTCTGATAAGGCGAGGCTGCTGTTGTGATAGGTTAAGAGGGACCAGAAGAGATTAGTTGCTGGGATGCTATGGCTACTTTTATGATCATTGGTTAGCAAAGGACAGACAATGATGACTGGTAAATTACTATTTAGCTCTTAAGGATACATCAGAAACCTTGGGCTGTCTTGTATTGGATTAAATTAAGGGTCAGGTTTCTCATCCAATACAGCATATCCATAGGAACAACAATTTACATGTTTACAGCTTTCTTCAGATTAGTTCAAAGGTGCTCCCGGAACTTCTGACATCAGTAATTCCCACAAAGACCTGTGAAAAGAATAGAAACTTAACACTTGAAAAGGTGTTTTGTACAGAGATATATACTAAAATGGCAAAAAAAAAAAACAACTTTGTAAATATTACATAATTTGAGATTTGTTTGTCCACGTTAAATGTACTACAAGTAATTTCTTGCACTACTTTTATGATCCTATAAATGTGACAGCTGTTCAATTTTGCTACCTAGTGCCTTGTCCCTATGGTTTTTCCCATGAGCTTATGAATTCATTGTTTTATTATTTTATAAGATAATCTTCCAAACAAAATCACTTTGAGATTTAAATGATTTCTGATTGAATTGCTCATTTAGTAACATGATAACTAAAAACAAGCCTTAAATTGTTAGCAATGTAAACATGTATTTCAGAAAATATCATATTGATAGCTATGCCATTTCAGAGTAGCTCATTAATAATTGAAATGCTACTAAATATGTAAATGTTGAAGTTGCTCATTACCTGAATATTCACAGCCTATCCAAGGAAGTCAAATGGTTGAAATTAAATATTTGCAGAGGCTGAAAGCTGGTATCTAAATGTCCAATCTAGTAGCATGTTAGGCATGTAGTCAGTATCAAATTATTAATGAGATATTTTATGTTTTCCCACTTTCTATAAAACCTAGTTCTAGACTCTGCTGCCAGCTTAATTTCATTGTGAATGCCTGAAATGAGCTATATAATGGAAAGAGTATAAAGCACACCTCTCGTGGTATCAGTCATATTTTAAGTGCTCAGGAGCCATATGTGACCAGACCATATTCTCAGGTCTAGATGACTCTGGGAGGTTGGCTTTTGATTTCTGTGTCCTTACTTGAATTTTCTTTAAAGGTTTTATAATTCTAACTTTGTGAAAACCTGGGTTTCTCAGAGTTCATTTGGATATTAGCATGATCTGAGCTGTTGAGGAGTTGTTACCAAATTGAAACAATATCTTAAATTTTTCAGTGAAAAGGACTGTAAAGATCTTGAAACGGTTGTATAGTGAAATGGTTGTATAGTGACGTCTCACTTGCTTTCACAGATGTCACTGACTTTCACTGTAATTAGTTGCTTGTTGAAGACACACGAGCTCTGAATATTTGGTCAGTTTTATATTTAGGAGCTGGTGTGATTGACATGTTAGCCAAATGACCAACTGGAATTGTGACTGGTGTTGATGAATAGCTCTAATCTGAGCATTCCCCTGTATTGAATTCTGTGGGAAGAGATCCTTTTGGATAACCAATTGAGCAAACTTTATCTAGGGTTTTCTCACACACACCCAAAATAAAAATAAGGTATCAACTCTTGAGGGGAGTACCAAGTTTGTCTTAGATTTCTGCAACTAGCAACATCACCTCCAATTCTCTTTCCTAATTGAACTCTTGGCTCTTTCTGAATGAGAAAACTGCTTCTCTATCATAATTTTTTTATCCCAACTCTATGGTTCATAGAAAAAAAAATTCAGCCTGACTCAACCAGGTTCAGAAAAATGTCTTTGTTT